CTGAAGCTACGAGGCTCACATGGCACTAATCCGGGGGTAAACGAGCATGCTGAGAATTCTATAATCACACTCGGAAATGACGAAGGCGGTAAATTTACCTAAAGTTGTTATAAATTCACTTTGGCCCGCCTTTACCTTTTTGAATCCTACTTCTGCCCCCAAAATTAGAAAAGCACATAGAGCCTGGTTTCGAGGGAAGAAAATGCTTATAAACTGAGGCGGCAAGCAGTGGCGGACCGAGGGGGGGGGGGCGGGGGGAGGGCGCCCCCCCCCCCCCCCGAGAGTGGGTCGCGAGATTTTTGAAACTTACCTATAGGTTATAAAAATGCCTGGGTTATAAAAATGTGCAAACGACTTGTTCATTTATGTAAATAATTGAAATCTTTAAAATTTTTTAAAAATTCAAATTAGCTTTATAAAAAAAAATTTTTCGGAGGCGCGGCTGACGCCACGCTCCCTTTTTTCAGATTTTAGGGGTTGGGGACCCGCAAAAATTTAGAGAAGCACCCCAAAAATTTTTTCGGAGTGCGCGGCTAACGCCACGCACCTTCATTTGAAAAAAATTTTTGTCGCCCCCCCCCCCCCGGTCCGAAATCCTGCGACCGCCACTGGCGGCAAGATATTTCGGTACTTTTCCGTTGTCTGGACCCATTTTTTCAAAGAAGAGCATTGCTTCCATCCTTGTACCATATCTGGTCTCAGCTTTACAGGGAGGAGTGCCAACCTTCTGCCACGTGTCAAAAAAATTTAAAATGTCATTTACATGCTTAACAGGTTTTACTAAGAGTTTTCGTTCAATCTGTTTTGTAGTCAATTTCAACCTCATTTCGATCAAGCATTTCAAAGTGAACATTGTCATAATAATAACAACATACTCTTATCGATGAACAGACTAGACTTGCTCGGAATAGAGAAGTGCGTGAGATGAAATCATTTAAGAGGCAAAATAAGCGGCAGCAAGGGACTTCAAGCTTCATTTATAGTCTTTTCTGGCTAAAATCGCATGGCCAAAAGGGTTTGAAGAGAAAAGCATTATTAAATCACTACTGAAAGCAAGCGAGATGATCTAAAATAAATTCATGATTGTTTTGCTTTTGTGTAAAACAATTAAACAGATCAAAAGTGACTACAAGTTCTCTTTTACCTCCCCGGAAATGGTTTCGAAAAAAAAATCATGTCAGAATGAACCGAAAAGTGTCAATTTTTTTGTGACACGTGGCAAGGAGGCAGTCCTCGTAGAAACTATAAAAAATTATTCTTAGACTAAAGAAAGTATCACATGGGAGCCTTTCGAAGAAATGGGTCCGGATAACGGAAAAGTACCGATATTTTCGCTAAGAATTTCTACGAGTCAATATCTAATTATACAGAAATTTCCTTAAATTCACTTCTGTCCCTTCCACTCTGCAAAAACCATACTTCTGCCTCTAAAAGCAGAAAAGTGGTCTCTGGGGAAGGACAGACCCAAGAGCTTCATCCGGCACGGCATTTTCACTGAAACTTTTGGCTCTCAAACTGCAAAAACCACAAAAATCAAAAACCACACATCTGGCCCTAAAAGCAGAAAAACAGGGAGCTTGGTCTCGATGGAAGAAAGGATTATGGCCTCAGGCAGCAAGAGACTTTCGCCAGAAGTTCCTGGGTGTCAATGATTATACAGAACTTGCTTGAAATTTACTTCTGGCCCTTTTGGTCTCGAGGAAAAAACACTAATAAGCTCAGCCAGCAAGATACTTTCGCTGAAACTTTCTGGGTGTCAATGTTTATTCATACTGAAACTTGCTTCAAAAATTTACTTCTGGCCCTTCTACTTTGCAAAAAAACCATACTTCTGCCTCTAAAAGTAAAAAATCACAAAGTGCTCTCGAGGGAAGGACAGACCCGTGAGCTTCATCCGACAGGACAGTCTCACTAAGACGTTTGACCCCCCAGACTTCGCAAAAACCAGTACTTCTGCTCCTAAACGCAGAAAAGCACAAAAAATCCAGTCTCGGGGGAAGAAAGAATCATGGCTTCAGGCAACAAGGTATTTTCGCCAGAAGTTTATGGGTGTCAATAATTATACAAAAACTTGCTTAAAATTTACTTCTGGCCATTCCACTTTGCAAAAACCACACTTCTTCCTCTAAAAGCAAAACAGTACAGATAGCTCGGTCTCGAGAAAATGGCAGAACCATGAGGCTTCATGCGACAAACATTTTCGCTAAGGCGTCTGACCTCCTAGACTTCGCAAAACCAGTGCTTCGGCCCCCAAAAGCAGAAAAGCACAGAATTTAGTCTCTAAGAAAGGACAGACCCATGAGCTTCTTGCAACAGGACATCGGCCCCTTCTACTTCGCAAAAACCAGTACTTCTGCCCTGAAAGCAGAAAAGCACAGGGATTTAGTCTCTAGGGAAGGACAGACCCATAAGTTTCATCCGACAGGATATTTTCTAAGACTTTTGACTCCCAAACTTCGCAAAAAACCATAAAACTCAAAAACCACACTTCTGGCCCAAAAAGCAAAAAAGCACAAGGAGCTTGGTCTCGAGGGAAGTAAGGATTATGGCCCCAGGCAACAAGATGTTTTCGCCAGAAGTTTATGGTTGTCGATGTTTCATTATACAGAAACTTGTTTAAAATTCGTGGCCATTCTACTCTGCAAAATCCATACTTCTACCCCTAAAAGCAAAACAGCACAGATAGCTTGGTTTCGAGGAAAAGAGACTCATAAGCTCAGCCAGCAAGATATTTTCGCTGAAAACTTCTGGGTGTCAATGTGTATTCTACAGAAACTTGTTTAAAATTCACTTGTGGCCATTCCACTCTGCAAAAACCAGACTTCTGCCTCTGAAAACAGAAGAGTGGTCTCGAGGGAAAAACAGACCCATGAGCTTCTTGCGACAGGAAATCATCTTTGCTGAAAATTCTGGCCTTCTGAATTTTGCAAAAACCACACTTTTGTCCCTAGAAGCAAAAAGCAGGGGGCTTGGTCTCGAGGGAAGGAAAGACTCAGGGCTCAGGCAGCAAGATATTTGCGCTAAAAGTTTTTAGGTGTCAACATTTGATTATACAGAAACTTGCTGGAAAAATTACCCTTCTTCTCAACCATACTTCTGCTAAAAGCGGAAGCATAAGGAGCTTGGTTTCGAGGGAAGGAAAGAACTAGGGTTTTATACGACAGGACAGTTTCGGTAAGATTGTCCTTCAAAAGAAGGCGCTGGGCCAGCTTCTGTTCAAGAAATGAGCCCATTCACTGGCAAGACATCATCGAAGAAAATGCTGCTTCGTTTTTACAGACATATCTGAGTTTTTGGCTGCTGGAAGACATAAATTGACGCTTCCTTTAACATGGCACTTTCCTGGAAATCAATCTGAGTTTTGGGATGAATCAGCTGCTCTAAACAGGTGCTTCGAGGTAGCTTCCTTGTTTAAGAGCTGTGGTATCTGGGCAAAGGTATGTGCAAGAAAACAGCAAAGGTGCTTTGCGCATAGTCAGTGGTAGTAGCTTCTTTTCCTAAGGGCATATTGTTTTGTTTCTACTACTCACAACATGCGCAAGGTCGCTGGGAAGATGAAAATTCTCTTTCTTGGGATTTTAGTTAATTAATGGCAGATATCAATGTATCTGCCCCCACCCACCTACTAGCGACCCGTAGGGTCGCTAGTCTTATATATAAAGCTGAATGTCTGTTTGTATGTATGTATGTCTGTATGTATGTATGTGTGTACGTATGTTCCGAATAGAAAATTCCATTTCTGAACCGATCCGGACCAAACTTGGCACACATACACTACGGGCCCCGGCGGGTGTCATAGGCTACTTTTCGTCATCGATCGATATCGATTTTATCGATTTTTATCGATTTTTTTGCTGAGTTCACCTACGGGGCTGGGAGTTGGCACAGGGGGGTAATCGAGCATGGGGATTCCGAATACAATATTGGTTTTCAGGATTATCGATTACTTTTATCGACTTTATCGATTTTTTTGCAAAGTTTGAGCTACGGGGCTGGGAGTTGGCACAGGGGGGTAATCGAGCATGGGGATTCCAAATACAATATTGGTTTTCAGGATTATCGATTACTTTTATTGATTTTATCGATTTTTTGCAAAGTTTGAGCTACGGGGCTGGGAGTTCGCGCAGGGGGGTAATCGAGCATGGGGATTCCGAATACAATATTGGTTTTCGGGATTATCGATTACTTTTATCGATTTTATCGATTTTTTGCAAAGTTTGAGCTAGGGGGCTGGGAGTTGGCACAGGGGGGTAATCGAGCATGCTGATCATCCCCAAGGGGGGTGATCAGCATGCTCGATTACACCCCTGTGCCAAATTCCAGCCCCCTAGCTCAAATTTTCAAAAAATCGATAAAATCGATAAAAGTAATGGACGATCTTGAAAACTAATATTGTATTCGTAATCTGCATGCTCGATTACCCCCTGTGCAAACTCCCAGCCCCGCAGGTCAAACTTTACAAAAAAAATCGATAAAATCGATAAAAGTAATGGACGATCCTGAAAACTAATATTGTGTTCGTAATCAGCATGCTCGATTACCCCCCTGTGCAAAATCCCAGCCTCGCATGTCAAAATTTACAAAAAATCGAGAAAATCAACAAAAGTAACCGATAATTCTGAAAACCAATATTGTATTCGGAATCCCCATGCCCACTTCCCTCCCTGTGCCAAATCCTAGCCCTGTAGGTGAACTCTGCGAAAAAATCGATAAAAATCGGTAAAATCGACATCGATCGATAACGAAAAGTGGACTGTGACACCCGCCGGAGCCCGAAGTGTATGTGTGCCAAGTTTGGTCCGGATACGGCGGAGCCGGGTAAGCCAGCTAGTTATCCAATAAAAACCAATGTGGTCTCCTGCGGTATCAACAACATTTGCGCGTAAAAAACCGGCACACAACGCGCATTTTCAGTCTCACAGTTCGCAGTCATTTTTCACGCGCAAATGTTGTCGGCAGCGCAGAAACACTGCATTGATCAATAAATCTAGTAGACTTACCTCAACTTCGTGTAGATATATCTAGCACTGGCCGCATCATTTCCACCCTCATGCCGAGTGCCGAACTGTCCCACTGGCTCCAAAAGGCAGACGTTGTTCATTCCCACAAAGTCTTGGGCCAATCTAACTATTGTTGTTACCAGAGCATTCTGAACCATAAAAATAACAACTCTTTTTCAAGAAAGGCTTCAAGCTTAGCAATTCCCACCTCGCCGTGATGGTAAGCTTCGTTTAGAGCAACGGCGGCAGCAAGTTGATTCACTTTGATTTCTTTGTTAGAGCTTCTTCGCAGCAGAGTATGAAGTACCTTACGCTGTGATGGTTTGAGACCATCTACTACAGAAGGAATAGACCGCTGAAACGACGAAGTTTAGTTACTGGTGACGCTCAACGAGATTTTAATAGGAGAAAAGCATTAGGTGAAAGCGCAGTTTTGTGGAGATTCTAGATAAACCAATCGTATCAAAAAAATAAAAATGAGATAACCTTCTGCTTCCCCTATAGAAGCCGCCTAGAAAGTCCAAGTGAAAAATAGTCTTTCAACGCTTACTCTAAACAGCACAGGTTTCAACATTTTTTTTTTCGGAGGGAGCGGAGATTAAGAGGGCAACAGTGATGAATTTCCAAAGAAGCTCCCAGACTGCATGGGACAAAAATTCTCACACATGATCGGTGCTACCAGCGGCGTAAGGATTTCCGTTCGGGGGGGGGGGGAGTTTTTTCTGAAGAAGATGAGTGGCGTTAGCCCTGCGCTAAAAAATTTTTCTGGTATGCTTCCCAAAATTTTTGCAGGCCCCGTCCCTAACCCCGAAGTTTCAGAAGAAGGGAGCTTGGCTGATGCCACGCCCCCGAAAAAATTTTTTATAAGGCTGAATTGAATTTTTAAAGAAATGGAAAAATTATTTCAGTTTTTTACAAGTTTGAACAAGTCACTTGCACATTTCTATTACTCACATAAGTAACTTTCAAAAATTTCGCGACCCATTCTCGGGGAGAGGGGGCACTGGGTGTTACAGATTTTACATTATTTCAAATATTGATCGGTCAATGATTTACATCAAGTGTTAACTTCCGAGACCAGGGGAAGGGGGAGGGAAGTATAGAAGGAGAGAGTGGAGAGGTGAGACTCACCTTCAGATCGAGCAATGAATACCGAAACAATTCATTGTCCACAAATTCTTTGTAGGATGCCTCATTGACAATTGTATGGTCTACAAAATCCTAAAAAGTCTGCCTTCCAGTTCATCTTAAGAGATTCTCAATAACACTTCACTGACCGTTTGCAACATCTTGTTGATCCACTCCTTCCTATCATCAGCCCTTCGTTTATCAAAAACCATGCGAAGGCTTTCGCCATCTTCCTCGTCCTCATATCGGAAGCTAACCAGATGTTTCTCAAAGTTGGAAAAGTACTCGCGAGCTTCTTTAGATGTTGATGTGCCTGCAATTTACGTTTGAAGAAGCGTTGGGATCATAAGTGAACTGTTCAAAAATCCCGCATTTCCTCTCCTTGACCCGTTCGCATGTCGATAAAACAATGAGGTTATAGGCAGCGCCTCGGCAGAATGACAACTTTGGGATATTCATGGTTCTGGGTTCCCCTGGACGGGCTAAGTCCAAGACTGTGCTTTGCAGCTTCAAAAGATATCAATAACCAGCTTTCCCAGACACGAAAAGTGGTATTTGGGCGGACCGCGTATCCTGCTCTCTAGAGCGCGATTGGCTTGTGAGTGGAGACACCGTATACCGTACCCACGAGCCAATCACGCTTGAGGGCAGGCATGCGCCGTCCGCCCAAATAGCACTCTTTTCATTTCTGGAAAAGCGGGTTATTGATATCTTTTGAAGCTGCAAAGCACAGTTTTGGACTTAGCTTATTCAAAGGAGCCGAGAACGATGAATATCCCAAATTTGTCATTCTGCAGAGCCGCTGCCTGCCTGAGGCTTACCTAAACCCTTGTAGTATTTCACCGTATACTTATCGGCATTGCTAGTATTCGCTCTCCAAGCTTTGTACTCATCCATCGAATAGAAACTGATAGTTTCAGACCCATTTCGCGCCTTGAACAAGATTGTATCACTAAAGTTAAAATCCATCTGAACCACTTCCAAACCTTCAATAATGGTGTCATGAACGACTGTACAAATCCACTATGCAATAATTGTGGCCAAAACGTGTGGAGAAAATTGATAATCAAGCCTTTGATATGAGATCCATCTTCATCCTAAAAATCATATGGTTAAAGTACAGTACCTCGCCTTTAAAAAACCGACCTGATCCGTTAGTATAATTATGCCACCATACCGTAACTTTGCACGATTTTCTGCTATAGAATAATCTTCGCCGTACTTGAGGCCCAGTATCCTCATCATGTGATTTATCTCTTTCGAAGCAGTTGCCTAAAACCGTGAAAAGCAAATTTGAGTTAAGGTGAAATTTTTATAAATTTCCCCGCGATCTTCGAAATACTGCAACCAGTAAAAAGGATGATAAATTCCTGACTCTTCTAATTTTCTATGAATTACGTGACACTTTTTGCGGAATATCTATCTACTATCTATCGGACTATCTTTGTGCCCAATAAATCTACAAATCATGAGTAGATTCTGGTTTTTCTACTTTAGCACTAAAATTGATCCAATAACTTCATGATTTCGGTAAAAATTGAGTTCTTCTGTAGAAAAATGGTTCTTTTGGGGCAACCGACTGCACTGCCAATTCCCAAAACTCCAGCTTCAAAAGTTTTCAAAATTCCCAAAACGGTTAACGCCACGCTTCTTCTGAAATATTCTCCTCACTCCAGTTAAAAAAATTCTGTTATCATCATTGCACCTTGAAGATGGCAAAGTTCACTTCGTACCTTCTCTTTTGTCAATCCCGATACATTTGTTAGCTTTCCCATAAGCGGAAATACACCGTAACGATCACGTCCGACAACCTCAAGACCAGCCACAGCTAACGCCTTCGCAGAATCTCCTGAACATGGGATGCTTCAAATTCTTGTTGAGTAAACACATTCTTTCTGAATAGAGGTGATTTTTTGCAAGCGTATCAGATCGTATCCATTCTGGAGAGATCTTCAACACATTCACTGAATCTCAGTTGCTTGTTAAAATTTTCTTACCTTCAGTAATCAACAGTCTACAATCTTGTGAACGCGTACTGTCACTAGCCCAGTTCGCATCCTCCAGTTTCACAATGTCCGAAAGATCCTCCACTTTTGGTTTAACCCTTTTTGGACGCCCCTAAAACACGCTATTATTGCTACTTTTGTGAGGATCGTTATTCTGTACCTCCTTTGCTTGTGCTTCGATAGTTAGCTCATCCACTAACCCAGACTCAATGGCCCATGTTTTAACTTTCTCAGCGTCGCACTCACACTTCGATCCAAATTCACGAATTGGAGTTGTTAGCACATCCTTAGTTTGGCTGGTGAATGCTGGATTTTCGATGAGAGCGTTCACGAAGACGCATAGCTGATGCTTGATCTGCAATATTCAAAAGTAAGACATATTTTGTACTTTGTCACTAACAAATACACAGAGTGTAGAGAAGTGTAAACAAACAAAACGTTAGCCATCTTATAATATATCCCAAACTCAAGGCCTTCTGAAATGTAAACTTTTTTGCCAGTTTTTTGCAAGTGCTAATTTGCAAAAAAGACTCCTTCACCCTTAAAAACCATAGCAATCTTTTCATCTATTATTACCCAACACTCACCAGCTATTTTCTACCAGATAACCGAACCTATCTTTACTCACCGCAACCCGTTTGATGCCAGTCTTGAGATGGGAATCCACCAATGGCTTTACGATGTTCACCAACTGGTCAACAATGTAGTCCACATGCTTTCCGCCCTGAAGAGGTAAATTTTTGGTAAATAGAAAGCTACTCTATACAGTCGAACTTTTGACCAGGTATAAAGACTGATATAAAACTTTTTCTGAGGCTCTGTTCTTCAGCATTCTTGAAAGTTCGGTAATTTTTTCTGCCAACTTATGCAATCAATGCTGATAACTTACACCAGTGGTAGCAATATTGTTGACAAAAGATATCTGCTGAAAGCCTGTTGTAGACTTCTTAATCGCCCACTGCCATCGCCTATTAGCATTTACAAAAAGAACATCATTAGCATTCTCATCGGTGCTGTATAGTTTGACGTAGTCTTGGAACGATGGTACCTAAAAGTATCTCTTTGTTTTCCAGAAGTTTTTCCCTGAGATCACTTTACCTCCACGAGATTACCGTTGCAGTAGACCTTTACTCCTCTCAATGTCCCAGCAACATCAAAAATACGTTTTTTGAACATTTCGCAAATATCATCGTCTAGGTCACGAAGTCCAAATTTGGCCAAATCGGGTGTGAAAGAGATTTTCGTTCCATCTCCTGAATCTCGCCTTTCGGTCACTATCGGCTCGTCGCATTCCCGCATGTTGTTGGTCCAGACCTAATTTAGGACCTTGGAGAACTGTGAGAAGCTCTTCAATCCCAACTTAATTTTCTCACATCTGTAAATAGACTGTTATTACCTGCTTGAAAGTTCTTCCACTATCTCGGGATGATGTCTCTACTACAAATTCTTTCGAGAATATATTGCAAAGTTTTGCACCATATCCATTGCGACCTCCTAAAAAAATCAATTATCGATTTTTTTGTCAGTGCGCATGGTACTGTAAGGCTACCTACCTACAACCTTAACCTCTCTATCATCGTAGTTGGATGATGTGAACAGATTACCAAAAATAAGTGTGGGTACATACATGTTTTCCTTTGGATGTATTTCTATGGGGAGACCACGCCCATCATTGAAAACGGTGATTCGCCCTAGGTCTCTGAATGCGAATTATTATGCCTTATGGAATAGAGCAAACCCCGAGAAAATCATCGAACCATCTAGAAAATATCCGCCCTAACAATCGCATTTTTTTTATTCGAAAGAAAAACCAGGGTGGAGATTGAGGATGGAACATTTCCGCAGTGGCAGGAGAAGAGAGAGAGTTGGTCTTGACTTACCATAGTTTTTTTGGAATTTTAGGCGTGCAAATTTGCGAATGTGAAAATTTAATTTTTAGGGATTTTAGTAAAGTTTTGGGTTTCGCATCACCCCTTTTGTAGAATAAACATAAACGCCATCCGCATGGACGGCAGCGGTCCATAAATTGTTCGGGGAGAAGGACAAAATTTTTTTCCCAATAAAGCAGGTTTCTTAGCGCCCCATAGTTTCCAGAATTTTTTGTGAGATACGAAAAAAAATTCTAAGCTAATTTGGAATTTAAAATATCTTATAAACGACTTGATTATCCAGAAGTAGTCACAAGTCACTTCCACATTTTTATGACCCATGTGAGATACTTTGCCTCCAAAAATTTTACGTTCTAATCTCTGGATTATACTCTTCAGATCCTGATCGAAGTTATTGAAAAGAACTTGTTGCATTTCGTCAAACATTAATCCACTTTCCCAACAAGTCGTGATGGCTAATAAGTTTGGAAACGAAACCTGTTCTCGAATGGTTTACGTCCAAGAAAAATGTTTTAAAAAATTCGATTTACAACAACTCCAAGACAGAATCATCTTTTGCTGGTAGACAAAACTCAGAAAAAAAAATTTTTTTCTTTCCCTTACATATTAAGGCAATGGTCCGACAAATTCCAGGAGCGTCAGAAAATTTTTTGAGTGAGGGAGCATGTTGCTGGCTGCGCTTTAAAAATTCTTTTTAAGGCTTTTCAGGATTTTCAGAATTAGCTGGCACGACCCCTACTGCTCACCTGTCAATATCCACACGAAGCTCAGTCATCTCGGGATCTCTCTGCTTATTATCAGCCGCATTCACCAAGATTTCATCAAAAATTTTCAGCAAAGCTGGAGAATATAATAATTTCTTCTGTATCATCCGTCGTTCATCTTCAGATACTACCCAAACATCCTGTAAATTCACTTAGTCCACAGCTTTTTACGCGCTAAGAAATCGACTTTACCGTATGCTCCGCTACACTTGTGGACCCTACATAGGTATCCGGACGTAGCAGAATGTGCTCAATTGGTGACTTACGCTCATAGCGTAGACTTTCTTGAAAAATGACAACTTTCCCAGCAAATCTGCCAAAAAACGGTGCCTCTAGTGCTTACCCACTACTGGATTTGTAGTTCTTCTCTGTAGTTTTTCTTGAAATCTGAACGCTGACGTATGAAAGGGCCGCAAAGGTCTATAGACCCTACTATATCGAAAAAATCGTAAAGAAGTGATGGCACATCTTTGCATGCCTCGAAACCCAAACACACTATTCTGTAACTGCACAAATTTTTCGAAAAACCTTTTAACAAGGATCAAGAATGCCAAGTACTTTTCCTGATTAGGTCAACAGCAACTGTTTCGCAAAATGCATGTGCAAACTTTCATTCAAATAACCTTGAAAATTATAAAAACAGCATAAAAATAACATTTACCCGATGAGATGTCAAAAAAGAGATGCCTTAACCAAAAAACATGAACAACTTTATATCATTACAAACAAAAAATCAACATAACAAACTAAACTTTTGAGCTTGATAGCGTTTCCAAGAAAGTACAAACGCTTTCGGTTCCTACCGTGTCCCACGAGCGTACCCTGATAGGGGTTGTGAAATGGAAAGTAAACCTCCAAAGGTTACGGTAGCCTGACAAGATGCGCAAAAACGGCCGTATTAAAGAATAAGCACGAAGAAATACCAAATAAGTTAAGGCAAATTTTGGATTTTAAGAAACGATCAGAGTGTGTGGAGCAAGGAGATCGATGAAATGTGAGGAGACAAAAAGTAAAAAGTTGATCAAATCGTTCAAAGAGGGTAAGAAAGAGAACCAAAAGACACACATCAAGCATGTGGCAATTTATCATCAATCAACATACAATCACAGTAATCGTCCGCGACAATTTGCAGAACCGCATTTGCAAAACAGTTGACGATGACGTGGACGATCTGGATCCAGTGCTTCCGGTGAGTATCCGTAATTCCAGCACAATTCCTGAGATGCAAAGAATGATTAATTACTGGCTATCAGCATTTGTTGAGTATCCACAAAGAGCATGGTTCACATTGATTTTATCGGATTCTACCACTGCAACCCAAACCGTACTTTCCTTCCGAAGCATTATTTGGTCCGCTTAAGAGAAACACGGTCTGGGCATGTATAAAGTTGGATTATTCAGCTACGGAAAAGAGTTTTAAGAGCTGTCTTGGGCAATGTTGAGGCTTCCCAAACAGTTAAAATCCACAGTTAGTATGCACATTAGAAGTGCAGTAACCCAGGTTTGCCTAAACAATGCCTCGGGCATCGCGTTGATTTGCATCATTGCACAAAAACGGGTACAATGTTCCTCTGTTGCCCCAAAGATTCAAAAGATTTGCATTCAAGGGATTATCACAGATTTCTTTTCTCAAGAGCTAGAGAAGAGTAAAAGACAGAGAAGGAGGAAAGAGAAATTGAAAGTATTAGTACTGAGCAGAAGACTGCATTAAAAAGTTTAAGCGGGAGCTGTTTAATAAGAAACGTAGCACGACAAACTTTCAACGAACAACAGCAGCAACTTCCCCATCTGGATACGCCACAAAAGAAAGAATGAATTCATACCTCTCCGGCTTTGATATTCCTGATAGCAAAGAATGAAGACCATGGAAGCCGGAGATCATGTGTATCCACAAACACATGCTGCACTTGTACATTTGGATCACATGAGTGATTCAGAAACCTGAAAAAATGTTCAGATCAAATCAACACAAACAGCAAAAACGTGTATTCTTTCACCTTCCCACATTTCCCTTCTTCTTAGCGTCCACAACAAACAGCGTATTGTTCTCACCAAAGTAATCCGCCCATTTGAATACCGTATCGTCACCTACCGCTGCAGCCGCGTCAACTGAAGCAAAAAATCAGAATGTCTAATACATCAACAAGATTCTCCATACTTTTCTCTAACTCCGCAGCATTCAACTTCTTTCGTCGTGGATTTAATTCCTCGTTTTGCATCTCCTTGTGTTTTCTACGAATTTTCTTCATTTTTGGCTCCTCTTCTTCACTGGATGACGACGACGACATATCCGACCTGCACACAAATGATCTTCAGTGAGAAAATTCACTTTCAAGCAAATTCGGAAATCGACACTGCTTGATAACGTTTTTGCCTAATAACTCGAGCTCTAAATCTTACATTGACGATAAACTACTGACAGTATTCACCTATAGTGAAAGTAGGTCTGACATAAAGCTGACTTTGATTAATGGAGCGGACTAACATTTCATCAGAAATTTTGAACAGTAGATCAATGATGGTAACCACAACTTGACATTTCCCTTTTTCCAAACTTATTCAGCTCTATAGGTTTTCAGAAAAAATCTGCACCAAAATATTGATTAGTGTCAAAGATACTTTCGACTGTACTTACTAATCTGAACAGTTATTGGCCCATCCAAAATAATAAGAATTTAAAATATCCACTCACCCCAATCCGTCATCGTCGGCATCCTTTTTGGACATAGCCGCTTCATCCTCCTCATCCGAACTGCCAATACCCATATCCAAATAACCGCACTTTTCGAGTGTCGTGGCTTTCTCGTTCTCTACCTTCACAACAAAAATTTTTGTTTCTCGGATCATACTATAAAGGAACATACCGCATCATTGAGATCAAGATCGGCGAAGTATTCATCTTCTCCTTGTAGCGCATCGGCTATGCTGTCAGTTAACAATGCTCCAACGTAATTAGCAATGAATGCTCCAGCAGGTATATCACACAGCGCACGTACACCCCATCCACTTTGTGCAGTTTTGTAAATCTGAACGAAAAAATCACTGATCTGCCATAATGCTGTGAGCTAAGCACTCACCTGAATCGGATATCTGATTGGCTGTTGAACCACTCGATTGAAGCAACGCTTCTGCTGACACCCACAGTTGTCGTTGCACTCAAAAACGCCAGTAATAGTTTTTCCAAGGAGTATTCGATAGCTGTATCTAAAAAAAGGAGAAAAGCACCATTTGAAGTCCAACTAAACAGACTTCAAAAAAATTTAGGAATATATGACAAGTGACTAACCCATATTCTCCGGGTGGAGGCCGAAAACTTTTTGCTAATCTTTGCACATTTGAGACTGTCAGTTGTTGGCATTCGCATTTCAGTGGATCAGAGCAATCATCTGCAATAAGACGGCAACGATCAGAACAGAAACAATTATACATACGTTGTTTTCAAAGAAAAGCATGTATATCAAATGTATTAAGAAGTAAAAAGCCAGTTTTATACTTGCAGAAAAATGTAGGAAAAGGGAAGCATGCTGAGTAACTAAAAACGCCAAAGTCGGCAGGGTCGTGCAGGATTACGGTAGCGCCATGTGAGAGTATGGAACTTCTCTTTACTCCTGACAAATGTCAGTTACTGTGTCTTAAAAATGATGCGAGACCGAGCAAAGTTCTCAAGTGAAAGGCAAAAGACGGTGAGAAAAATTGAGAGAATGTAGCCTGCAGGTCCCTAACACCTGCACAATTCTGACTCACCAGTACAAGAGCAACCTGAGCAGTAATCTCTCGAGATAGTCTTCACATCAACTTGATGATTATAGGGAAACCGTCTGGCACAGTAAAACAGCTGCAACGAACAACTTCTTGAAAGAAAACAAGACGAAATCATATCGTACCTTTGGCGGCTCGTCATTATCAATTGTGTTCACCGCTGGGATCGGCATGTGTTCTAATCCTTGTGTGAAATCAGCTGTTCTAACGTAGGAACTATCCACCTGACGATAAGAACGATGAAAAAGACATTTTTTAAAATGATAGGCAAGACCATCCACAGCAACTTACATGAACAAATGTCTTCGTTTCGATGACAGGGTCAAAGCAGAATAGATCTATAGTGAGCTCACTACCAACCTCCTAAAATGTCGTAGAATGTCAAAAACAGTTGTAGATACCGTACCATGATTATCAAAAGCAGTAATATGATTATTCGCTTTGTATCCGGGTTTAAGAAGGTACCACTAGTAGAACTCAAATCAAAACCGGCAAGAGAAAACAAATTTTCTACACAAAAAGGAGTGTATTCTACATCTGCTTGCGCTGCAAAGCAATTCATTTTTTTTTAATGTTCTGAAATCTAGCAAGAAAGAACAAAAATATAACACACTTTTAAATAGGCCGCTATGGCTTTTTTCGACGCCAGAGAACGTCCACATGGTGCTCGATATAATATCCTGCCATCGCTAACCTTCCTCGTAGAACTATCGTACAGGTATAACTGTAACGTAGATGAGAGAAGAAATAGCATTTACAATGAAAAAAAAATTCAAGCGTTACCATTCTCTTCCAACCACAGAGTATCGGTATGTGTAGTGGAGAACAATTGTAGAATTGTGGATCGGCAGGATCGCGTTCGAAACCTCCCAAACATATCGAAGAACACTCTGCATGATACCGCCAAGTGACTTGCGGGAGCACGCGAAAACTTGGAAGTATTTCAAACTGCAATGATCTTTTTGAGTTGCATATGTCAGGATAAACTCATCCAAACAAATGTTTCTAATACATAACTTTTTTTTAGACCTACCAGCCTTTCCTTCTTCTTTCGAATGGCCAACGTCTGCGGATCCATTTCAAAGCTGAGCACATCGCCTTCAGGACCCCCATCTGCTCTGGTCGGAAGAGACGATTTTCTCGCCTAAAAAGGGTAAACGATCTGTGCACAGTTTAGAGTTCAAATTTTCTGATGATAATTTAAGAATCTTAAGCTAATCTTTTGCTCTAAACAGCATCTCTTCAGTCAAAAAATCTAGAAAATCGATTTCTCCACATATTAGAAGTTCTGGAGCACGTGCTCTTCATCCAAAATGCTAACGGTAGGCAAAGTGATACCGTCTCTGTTTGCAAACACACCGTAATTCAAATTATACAAATAAGCGCTTCTCGCTAAAGATTACGGTAGTACAATACAAAAGACCAACCGTAGTTGTGGACTTCATCTTATCCATGCTTGGTCCAGGTTGGACAACATCAAAATGCGATCGGTTCTTGGCCATACGCCTTGCCGACATATTATTGTTTCCAAAGTGTTCCAAATTCTAAAATGGGATACCTATGACTACCAAGAGGGTTGAAGAGTTTCAAAAACACTTAAAAATAAAAAACCCACCACTGCATGTATCCTCGACGAGCCTCTAAATATCGTCTCATCAACATGTACATGTCCTGGTGCTGTGCATGGATATTCAAAGCAATTTGCTCCACTGACAGAACAGTTCCTCGGTGGAAACCTCAGGACACACAAAGCTCTATCAGTTGCCACTACATATGCAGTTACTCGATCTTGGTTGCGATCATAGGCCTAGACATTAATAGTAAGGAAGAACTGTCCAACAAATGAGAAAAACCAGATTGAATGCGTACCACAATGGCTTGAGCTGGCCGCTCAGGTGGCGATGGTTTCTTCATGCGCACCAAAGGCCAGTCTGGATATTTCTCAAAATATTTCTGAATGAATCGGCGACGCTCCGGATTTTGTCGTATCAACTGGTAAACACCTCCTTTGGCGATCTACAAATCGAGATACTCGCATTCTAGTCAACAGCAGATCGAGTATCGAACCAGGTAAAAAACGAGAAATAAATTGAAGGTAGAATGATCACGCAGTTTATATGTAGAAAGTATGAAAAAAAAAAACTGACATCGATTCCGTTCGTGGCAATTGATTGCCTAGCCAATGGCAAGATCTTTAGCATCTTGATTTTATCTTGAAACTGTTGCACGATGTTCCTATCATCCATAACCTTAAAAATGATAATTTTGTAATTTTTAGATGACAAAAAACTTGTCAAAGTCTTGTAATCAACTTACTATAGAAGCCTGCATTGCAGCGTCATCGCAAGTGTCAAATGCAGCTTGAACGTACTCTTCAAAGCCGTCATCAAAGAAGATCTGAAATTCCGGTGCGATATGCGCATCGCGAAGTCAAATATTTAGAATTCACTCACCAGAAACTCTTTATTATGCGCAGTATTCGGTAATGTCCCAATCGTTCCTGTACTCCAAACTGGTCCTTGAGGGTAATATGAACTATTTACCAACGCAGCAACTCGCAGTCCTAAACAGAAAAACTGGAAGAACCGTTCCAAATGACTGATCGAATGAAGCAAGTATCGCACCAATATAATTTGTTCGTTTGATGTCAGGATCATACATAGGTACCGTAGGCACGGCTATATCGCCTGTTTCTACTTCTTCTATAGTTCCGTTATCAACAAAGCGGAGGGAATAAGCGAACGGAGCAGTCTAGAATCACCAACAGATCATGCTTTACCAGCAAAATAAGTCGCATCGAACATTCACTTACTTTGCTTACAACCTGCGCTATCACTAGATCCGAACTGTCATCTTTTCTAGCTAAGCAGAGCTCTCCTTCATTCAGCCGTAACCTTGCATTTAAGCCTTCAGCAGGCGGTGGTGGCCATTCGCTAGGCATTTGCACCTTCTGCATTCGAGCTCGCACCGCATTAATTTCGTTTTCCAACTAAAGTCGTAGATGAATAATAAGTAAGTAAAATGTGAAATTTTTGCTCACCTTTTTGATATCTTCATCAGTCATGGTTGGCCGATCAATTACGCTCTGTGGTACCAAGTCTGCTATAGCCTGATTTCGTTCTTTTACGACAGCATCGTGCTTCTCGACCTGAACTTTGTTCTACAATTATGCAAAACTTGATGCAAAAGAAGAATTCTCACCAGCACAGCCCTATCCATGGAAGAAACCAAGTCGTGCATATCAGCCAAAACCTTGTCAGCAGTGTCATTCCAGTTTTTCAACTGATTTTCAATGATGGCACATTGTCTATAAGTCAAACGTGAGAGAAAAGTTGCAGTAAGACTTAGCAGAGCAACAAGCCGCTTGTGTCAGATGTAGAAAGCCGGGCATACATCACGCGATTTCATCGCCTGGCGATCCCACAACAGGACAAGTCTCACAAGTTCATTGCAAACTGGTCATCCTGCGTATCGGTTGTAGTCGCGATTACTCGCGTCGGAAAACTATCCAACCGAAATGCAAAATGAGTAACATGCAGTGAACTCGCAGTTATCTTGTTGGGTGAATCGCGAGGCGATGAAATCGCATGATTGTATGGCCGGCCCTTAACAGGTGCATCTGCGCCAAACTGCTCGACAGAAACTAATTCGACAAAATGACCTAACCGACATACATATTATTCTAGTATAAATTCTTAGAACATACATAATTCTGTTACATATTCTCAGAACATGTTCAGCGGACAAAAATTACATTGCAAGTACTCAGAAGATAAATTTACGTCATATAATCACTGGGTTCCTGAACAGAGGAATTTGGATCCATAACGAGCGCTTTTGCCGCATTCCACTGCCGCTGTGCCTCTTCTCTAGTTAGCTTATCAAACTCATTCTGCTCTTCTTCTGTCCAAGTATCATTCACGTATGTTATGGCGTCCCAGTCACACGAAAAAGGCCATCCGCAAACCTATAAACCTTTGTAGCAGACGTTATTATAACAAATAAACAATACGCCTCCAAAATATCAGGTTTTCTATGTGAAAAATGACCAGCTGCACAAAAAAACGTAGGCGGAAACCTATTTGCCGCCTTTGTGAATATGGAGCAGAGACAAACGGCAAAAAAACCGAGGGTGAGAAAACTATTACTTTTGTCCAACACTTTTAGTGTAGGAAGACTATAATGTGACAAAAGCCACAAAGAAGTAAGACAACAGACAGAAATCTGGATTGACATGTTGAGCATACTGACTTCCGCAAAAGACTCTTCAAACAGTGTCAAAAATGAATAACTACACACGATGATTTGGATTTCACGCTTGTATGATATGGCACTATAAAATAAATACAAAGGAAACGAAGTGAAAATCAAGAAGCGAAGTCTGAAAACAAAGACTTACCTCACAATACGCCATTGTAAGAGCAAGACAGCAGTCAATGGGTGTGCAAAAGGTCTGCTGAAAAATAGCTTCCTAATCTTTTAATCTCCTAATTATCATCGAGAAACAAACCATGATCAGATCCTTCGGCGATTTATCACCATCGTCTTTGCCACCAAGGAATTTCTTCACCATGTAATAGGTTCCTTTGTCAAACTGTAGCGCATCACATAGGACATCAAATTTGATGTTGCGATTGTTGTTATCTCAAAGCATAAGGATAATCAGGATCCAAACTACCTGACGATTACCTTCCATCGCTGCGCAAAGTATGGCTACAACTAGCTGCTCTAGAGTCATACCAAACTCTTTGGCGAAATCGACATCGCCACGTTCTTGAAACCGATCCGCGACCGTTCTCATGACGTGCGGATCAAAGCACGGTGTATTTTTGCGCTAAACAGATGAAATGGTCAGACATTTATACATGTACGTACATATGTGGTTTTGAACTATACCCTATTGAGATAATCCTTTGGGATCACCACTTCATAATCAGTTAGATCGTCAGCGCTCAGATAAGTGAACCAGCTGAAAACAACGGTTACTAACGACAATTTGGTGTGATGCGTGATAGAACATAGAATATAATTTCCCTCCCCTCTCACACTGAGGGAATTTCCATTAACTTGAGCCACCTTATTCTACCAGAAAAATCTCGTGAACTTTCCATCGGAACTCTGGTCGCCTTATACTTTCGATACAGTTTTTGAATTCATTCAACATAGTCTGTATGTTTCACTCTTCCAGTGCACCCCAAGTGAAGACACATTCTGAAGAATGAGCGATATACCTACCTTTAATTCAACTATCTGGCGGTAGGAAGGCGGGACTTTGTGACCTAATTGAGGCCGCCGCGCCCGCGACGCAGTCTGCGTCTCTCTCACGCGCGTGCTCTTTGATTATTACCTAGCCTTAAAGGCAGTGGATCAGCAGAATGGACCCATCTCGGATTTTGGTGGATTTAGGTAGTAGACCCCCCAAATACACTGTAGCCCAAACCCCATCTGCCAATTCATACGCTAAGTCCTAAAAAATACGCTTCAAAACTCCACCAGCCCGCCCATTCAATTGAAAGAGGCGGGGCTGGTGGAGTTTTGAAGCGCATTTTTCAGGACTTAGCGTATGAATTGGCAGATGGGCTTTGGGCTACAGTGTATTTAGGGGGTCTACTACCTAAATCCACCAAAATCCGAGAAGCGTCCATTCTGGTGATCCGCTGCCTCTAATTAGGTCACGAAGCCACGCCTTTCGGCCGCCAAGCCAGTTGAATCAAAGGGTACTTCACAGTACAGTGGGGTCATAAAGTATTGAGCAGACTTGTCAGGTGATACAGTCTTACGAATACTCAGTTGACCTAGACAATTACAAAATATTTTGTAGACTTACTCCAATAACTCCTCACATCTCTTCTTTATAGTCGCTATTTCCTCTTCCGACAGAACATCCCATTGAGCATGTGGATCGTTTATAGCATTGATCATGTTTTCGGCTACGAGTTGTCCTAACTCTGCCTGGAAACGCAGCACCAAATAATTTTACCCACCAAATAGTCATATTCAAGCACAGCAGGCGACCAGGCAAAGCTATGTCTTGGTAAAATAAAATAAGACTAACAGAGGGCTGAACCGCAAACCCAATGAGAAGACAAACAGCATTCAAAGAACGTACCAGAGCAGGTTTCACAAAACTCACATAAGGAGTTGCTGAAGTAGATGGGGCCGACGCTTCAGTGCTCATGATTGGATTTGAGTCACTTGAGCTTCTGGCCGAACACAAGGATAGCCCTCTGAAAATACTTATTTCAACAAAAGCAAAGAAACAGAATGGACGAACGTCATTTACTAGTCAGTACAAAACCAGAGTTATATGATCGCAAGTACTTGTATAACAACACCAAAGCAAAAAAAAAAGAGCTGACGATTCAGTGACTGCCTCAACACCTTTGAAGCTTGCGATATTGAAAAGCATAGCAAGGAGCATTTAACAGAAAATCTGCCTTTTACAACAGTCAAAAGTTCAAACAAAGAAATGTCAACGTTAAACTGAGAACCGAACAAAAACGAAGCAAAGTGCAACCGAATTTGAATGAAAGCTGTCGTCTTTGCAGTCACATTGTACGCAACCTAATGAACGACGTCTGTTTACCTCTTACCGGAAAGAAGTAAAGGAAATAAGGGCCGCCCTCCTCCTACTAAAAACACTTCCTAGTCCTACATCGTTCTAAGTTATTATTACATAAAGTTCATGCCTCCTTGTGATTTTCTGGATGACGCCCTCCACATTTGTTCGGAAGGAACAAGAAACAACTGGGAAATAAACCTTGCAGAAGAATGGCTGTCAGGTTCAAGGGGGCCATTCCCACTCAGACAGTCGAAGGGATACCTTCGGCGGGCATATGGTGCGAGTCTGCCACTTCGCGCTCCGGAGCTCTGCCATTTCACGAATTTTTGTGCTCCGGGGCTTTCCCAAAGCTGGCGAACCTCCGGAGCAGAGATTTGCGCGTCGCGGAGAGGGGTCCCATTCGTCCTGTTTGTGACGTCACCGTGACGTCACGGTGAATGAATGGGACTTCTCTCCGCGACGCGCAAATCTCTGCTCCGGAGGTGCGCCACTTTTGGGAGAGCCCCGGAGCACAAAAATGCGTGAAATGGCAGAGCTCCGGAGCGCGAAGTGGCAATCCTCCGCAGGGGAAAGCTCGCGACCCTGCCACTTCTGCTCCGGAGATATCCCATCGACTGTCTGAGCAGTTGAAGCTCGTCCTCGAGCTTATAGATAGCTGGCAAACGTGGTGATGACGCTGTTGAGTTTGCATCTTCAAAAGCTCCATTTCGCGAAAGAATGGGTGAACTGCGTAGACAGTCACGACCTATTCTTCATCATTGGCGGTCCTCAGTCTTATCAGTCATCATCATCATCCCGGACGTTGGAGGAAGCTCGTCCTCGAGCTAAGGTTGGCGATGGACGAAGGGGAGGATCGCCTAAAGTCGTCGTGGAAGACGTTGGTGTTATTGCGATGGTAGGCGTGGATTTTGACGTGAAATTTGTGGTATGGTGTTGTAGAAGTGGGGAGTGGAGGATGATTTATATAAAATGGGGTTACATTCATCATTGCTGTGCATTGTATAAGTCAAAAGAAAAATTACCGTGGCACATACTGAAGGGAAGAAGTACATAAACAAATGCACATATGGAGGAGCAGTAAAACGAAATATAAATTTGTTTACGGGAAAATTACAGATCCGAAAGATTTGTTGGAAAAAAAAGTTAAATACATACGGAGGTGCAGAAAGAAAATAGAGCAGGCTTTCAATTAGTCACAATTAACCGGCTAAAATCAGAATCACCAAAAAGGATTGCAGAAAACGTGCGATGCGGGTTTCTTTGTGTTTTTACACAAGAAAATGAAATTATTGCTGACTCCTGTGAATCGCCTTTTCAAAGGAGTAAGTGTAATCATGGAAGAAAAAACTGAATTAACGCTGCGAGGAGCAAAAAAAGTGGACAAAAGAGAATGCATTCCAGAAAACCAATAACTGAAGTTACAAAAATAGTAAGCAGAGAAAAAGAAATTTTGTTTTAATGATCAGTTATGGGTGTTCTAGAATGAGAAGGAACATTCTAGAACGTACGAGTTTTGCGTCGCTTTTGAAGACGAGTAGAGTGACGAAAATTAGGATGTTCTTCATTTTCTGACGTTTCTGATGTGATAGGCGAAATTGGTGTAGGGAATGGATTAGAAACGTTAGCCAATGCAGAACGGGGTGCATAAATTTTCAATCTGTTATGTGAACTGTCTGAAAGGTTTGACGACCAATCCGATTTTTGATAGTGATGCTAGGTCTGTTCACACTTTCTACTACAAAAGGACCCTTCCCCTGCACTGAAAATTTTGGACGAACTGTATCGTCGTGTAACAGAACGAGATCCCCAATGGAAATTTCTTTTAGAAAAACTTTGTGCTGAAAATCATAACCTGCTTTATATTAGGTTGGTGCAAAAATAATGAGCGTTTTTACAGGACTTTTTTCAAGATAACTTTTCTCTATCAAACTTTTTTCTTTGTAACGGTTTCAGCACATTGTTAGGAAGCTCTTTTCATGCTATATCTAATGGTGTTTGAAAGGGACTTCTAGCCCACTTTGTTAAGAGTTTGTAGAGCTTCAAATAATCGCACTAAAAACCAGATTTCGGTTGCATTCATTTTCCGGTCAGAATTTGAGTGCAAATGAAGATGCTTTTTCGAATATTTAGCCGCTACATTTAATGGAAATTGTCTACATTATGCATACTTAGCCATATTTTTCGAAGTTACCTAAAGTGAGATATCGGCGGCTTAACATGGGTAATGGTTGTGGTCATTTTAGAGCCCATAACTTTCTTTTGTAGAATGCAGTCGCTCAAACTTTGCTCATCTCCGTAAGCGTGAGAGTAGGAATCCTATTAGCAGTTTTTGCAAAAACATCCAGCTGTTCAGTACGCAGAAAAATAGAAAATTCTATACTTCAGGATTTTGAGGCCTACTGAAAAAATGCTAAAAAAGTCGATATTTTTGCATCTCGATTTTTTCCTCTTCGCTAATCTTTTTTCTCCAAGCCCTTTCCATGTATATTTGTACTACTGGCATGCGGCTACAAGATAGGCTGCTGATCGGCTACAAAATAGGCTGCTGATAAATTATAATAACAAAGTGTGAAAGGAGTTATGTTTTGTCAGAAATAAGACTTCAGAAGAAAACCTTTTTTGTTTTTCAATTCATATTTTTCTGCCCATGTGAGATATGAGTGTAGCTCAATGTGCGCTGTACTTCGAACGGTTCGCTGCATCTGATGGTCTTTATCGCATTTCAAAATGTAGATTTTATAGAAAGTTATAGCAAGTTAAAGTGAAAAATGGGAAAACGCTCATTATTTTTGCACCAACCTAATATTTTGCTGTTTTACTAGCAATTTGGTTTCCTACATCCATAATGGTTGATTGTAGGGGCGTGGTGAGCTGATCAGCAAAGTTGTCAGTTGCGTACGAGATGCGGGATGGTAGCTGGTGCACGATGTCGCGAACGGAGGGAAAGAGAAAACGCTGGATTAGTTCCAAAGCTTATCTAAGCATGGCTGGGCTGCCTGTGACAACCTACATGGGCAACTGAATGAGAAAACCCGACAGATAGTGATTTTGGATTACATTGAAGAGGGAAAAGTGGAATTACGAAAAGCGGTCACTTTCTGATCGGAAAGTGAATAAGGAATTGTCCAAGGTAAGTGTTTGAAGTTTACAGTTATCTCACATGAGCAGACTAATTTGAAAACAGTATTCATTGAAAAGGTAAAAAATTTTTTTCAAGGAAGTGATAAAGATGAGTGAAGACCTCTTCAATCTTCGCAAACTCGTACCCATTTTGGAGGGGACGCGAGATTCAGTATTGGGGGAGCAAGTGCTAAATGAAGAAAGGATTCACTCACATCTAGTAAGAGGCGAAGTCAAACGAACTTATGTTCAGTTCAAACGGACTTCACGGCAATTGTGGAGGTTAAAGTGTACAATCGGCATACGCTCGGAAAGAGATTGAAATGTGAGTCCAGTTATCCTATTCTACTGCTATTTTTATCTGTTTTTTAGGGCAGTCTTCACACGAGCTCCAACTACCACTATAAGTTTGCCCCTGAACGCGATAGCTGGAAGGGAGATAAACTTAGCATGATGCTGCGCTTTGGGAGCCTGCGCGTGCAAAGCCTGGGCGATGAAATTCCGCTGCCGCCTGGATTCGAAAGTGCGCTTCTGCGAGGAACCACGTCCAACGTCTATTTCGATGGTATTGTTGAAGGAGATAGCTTGAAAGAAAAGCTGGACGAGAAGGCGGGCAGAAATAGAAGAAACTAAACGTGTAATTCCTCGTTGTTTATGATAATATTATCTTAATGGAGTAAAACTTTGCTTCTGTTTCTAAATTCACAAAAAAAACTTCTACATAGAGTTCGTATGTCTATGCAGGGTGTAGTTGTATGTACTTAGAAGCACTAGTTTGTGTATTCGGCGTAGGGACTATCGAATGTAGCCCCCATTAATTAGAATCATAGGGTGTAACATTCTCCTAGTACGCGATCAGCTGTTGCGCATTGTAAGCTAGGTGACAGATACAAATGTTAATTCTATCGAGCATATGTTCTTGTCAGGCGGATAGTTGCTAATCCCCTTTGGGACGCTAATCCTATAGGCCATATGTTTGTAAATTAATTGAGGATATTAATTGGACCGCACATGGTTGCGCAGTGTATCAGCGAGAAGACTTACCATTTGATTCAACTGGCTTGGCATCAGCAAAGGCGGGGCTTCGTGAACTAATTAAGGCTAGGTAATGACCAGAGAGCACTCGCGCGAGAGAGACGCAGGCGCGTCGCGGGCGCGAGCGGCCTCGATTAGATCACAAAACCCCGCCCTAATGGTGCCAAGCCAGTTGAATCAAAGGTTAGCTAGTGTGACACCACAGTTGGTGCCAGCTAAGGAGTTCCCAGCTATACGTAGTGTATGAAAAAATTTTTTTTTCTAGTACTGGTATGGTTTGCTACTGGTGTTTGCGAGCGAGTCCTTGGATTGCAAAAGAAAACAATAAACCTACGTAAAATGCAAAAATCTAGCGCGATCGCAATATATAATTACAATGGTACCGGACCCGGTGACTAGGTCACGGTTTTTCGCGGATACTCCGGTGACCCGCGGTAAATTCTAGCTATTCACGGCATTTCTCGGTTATCCCCGGTGTAAAATACGCAAAAATACATATTGGCCAAGAAAAGATTAGAAAAGCTTCTGCTAAAGGGCTCGCTTCCGGGATCTCCATGTCAGGTTCAAGAGGTGTACAGACCCTTGCCTGAGTGTAGCGGTGCGAGGTAAGTACATTAGAGTTATTATAAATATTTATTAAGATTGAATATGGATGATACATAGGGAAGGGGAAAGGGGGAAGTGGGGCGCGCCCGTCGGCTCCGGTGCTCCCACCTTCACTGAGCCTCAGGCGACGGCTCTGCCCCCGGCCGGCAGCTGACGCCGGGTTGGGTCATTCCCGACATGGCAGCTGCAGCCCGATATAATCGGCACTGCATTTTGTAGCTTAATTGTTGTATGGGTACCGTTAAAGTCATGCTCAGCATGAACTATGTGATATGGGTTCGACCAGCACGTTTTGGAAGGATGTTATTCCCGATCCAGCATCGCGCACAGTCCGAGCCACCAGTTTCAAGCTACCTCAAATGCCTCAAGTCTATGCTTTGAGAGCTTCGAGGTGATTTGCAACTGTTGAGGTGCTAAAAAGGACAAAAACTCGAAATCGAGGATTTGGGTGGACGGTAAAAAACAATCTAAGTTGGTTAAAAGCTCCGTCATTGAGTATGGTACCATTTCAGTGTTCAGAATGTTAAAAACCTCTTAAGCCAGCCAAATTTGTAAACTCAACATTTTGTCGATGTATTCTTCACCCCACAGTCCAAAGGACGCCGCATGTCATTGGAGCGCGATATCTATCAGTGCGTAGGTTTAAACTATTTTTGGCTCAAAAAAAGAGGAGAAGCAGTGGTTTGATTCTTCGCTATTCTATTCTATTCTATTCTCTTCGCTATATGATGGAATTTTGATCGTTCTAGTTGTCCGAATCAAGTAGGTCCAAAACTTATTGAACTCTTCGATATTTATGCTTCGAACCAACACAGTTGGTTTGGTGTCGGTCTAGAAACCATCAAATTCGGAAACGGGTGCTGCGACACATAAGTTCTTGAAACTTTTTACACAATGTAATTTGGAGTAATATTGTATACACATAGCCCAAATTTGGTGTTATGTGATTGTTTGTGCGCTGTAAACAAGCGATTTGTTTGTTTAAGTATTGCGTTTGAAATTCGCGCGTTGCGAAAGAATACGTTCAACTTGTAAAACCTGACATGTTTGTCGTTTTTTTGTGGCGCTTCCTCCAGGACCACATAAAAACGATGTCCCCGTTGCTTCTAACTCCAAAAACGAAGTCCAGTTTGACTCCAGACCATCTTCGCCGGGCCCTGGTCCTGGGTACTCCGAATCCGCAGGGGGTGCTGGGGCGCAGATGCGTCCGAAGCGATGATGCCCTTTGGATGCTCGTCCTAGGTGACGTCGAGTGCCTAGAAGTAAACCGCGTGAGGATATGTTTTCATTGATCGGTCTTGGACTTGTTTTTCTTCTTTGCCGTTTATTTGTCAGTCACTGAAGTTTGTAGGCCTAAAAGTGAAAGTCCTCACCCTGTACCTGCTTGAAAGTGAAGGTCGGGAAGAATCGCCAACATTAACGCATGTCTGAGCTAGATCACACTCGGGTTTTTCTCAACAGTAACGATAGCTGGCAATAGTGGCACCCTGTGTGCCCGGTGTCAATAAACGGTATACGGGTAGCATCTCACCAGCAGCTTACGAGGAACCACATTTTATAGCAGTAAATGCCCGAAGCATTGTTTTTCTCCATGTAGGCTTTATGTCAAGGCTTCTGCTATTTTTTTAGGGATGGAAATAATCAGCAATCACATCGTCATAAATTCGCGATAGAAAGCTTTGTGTCTAATTCAGCCAATGAAAAGAAGTGAAGCTCAAATCTTTTCTTCGATTTTATGAATGGGTGAGGGCGGGCTGTTCTGCGCGCGCTAGCAGCTGGCAGCTAGCGGCTGTCAGAGCTGTGTTATTCTTGACCGCCACCCTTCTCGCAATGATGCGTTACACAGGATGATATATGGCTAATACGGGAATGTGCTTGAAATTCAGACTCACCTCTGTTGTCTACTCTCATGCATGTACCGTCAGTAGATTTGTCGGTAAATATAGCGTATTTGCGAGAAAAAATTTTGCGGTAGAAATTACGAATGACAGCTATGCATGGAGTGCCGGCATCTCGCGAATTGCCAGCATTTCAGGCTCAGCTATTTTTTTTCATGTACAGCTTTTAGCGCAAAATCTCAGCACCCGCACTATATTGCGACAAAATTTCTCGACTGTAAGCAAAAACTGGGGAGGCAAAAATGGGTAATAGGAACGGGCAGTGGGGGTACGAGCCCCCTCCCCCTCCTTCCGAGAGTGGGTCGCGAAATTTTTGAAATCTACTTACATGTGTTGCGAAAAGTCGTAAATTTAAGCTAAAACCAGCTGAATGATATTTGTAACCAAGCAAAAGATTCTGTGGGAAGAAAGATTTTGAGATTAACTGCTAAATTTTATTTTGTTTTTCTGATCGAAGCTTGAGTGACCAGTCGATAGAGCGATGAAGTCTACAAAAGTCCTTCAGAAAGTTGCGAAAGTTAAACACGTAAAAGCTTACTTACTTAGATACTTAGATGGCCCGGCTTCACGTGACGTGCGGGCCCCGGCACAGAAGTTTCCATCGGTCCCTGTCCCTCGCTTCAGACATCCACGATCTTCTTGGCTGACGTCGGTGGCTGCGTCCACGAGTTCAGGTGCAAAAATCGTATCCAGCTGATTTCTCAGCTGGTCCATCCGTTCCACGAATACGTCTGCCCATCTCGTTAGAGGTCCTCGGGGACGTTTTGCTTCGCGAGGAATCCACTTCGATGTTCTTAGTGCCCATCTGTCGTCTGTTCTTTTTATGATGTGAACGGCTCATCGGTGCTTGGCTTTCGCAGCGTAATCCGCTGAGTCATAAAGACGGGACATTCTTCTCATATCCGTCTGCAAATTCCGACAAGATGTTGCTTGTGTCGGGTCATCTTTAAAAGACTACGCTCTAGCGCTCTGTGAGTGGTCCTTAAAGCTTTCGACGTGGCTACGGTGTCAGCCCAAGTTTCAGCTGCGTAGCAGAGCACCAGGAGAACGGTTGAGTCGAACAGGTGGGCACGAAGCTCCGGGTTCGTCAGTTGGTCGGTGGCTTCCTTCAGAGGCCCGAAGGCGGCCATAGCTGCTCTTCTTTTTCTGTTAAGTTTTTCCTTGAGGTCGTTCTCCATGTTCATCGAACGTCCGAGATACACGTAAGAAGACGTCTCCATGATAGGGGTGCCTTCCAATTCTATTTCCGCACTTCGCAAAGGGCGTTCTTCATGAACTGATTGTGAGTCTCCTTTCGATTTATTCGCAATCTGATCTTCTTCCCTACTTCCTTCAGTTCCTTCAGCATGGTCTCTGCTTCGGTGATACTGCTCGAGAAGAGAACAATGTCGTCCGCAAAACGAAGGTTAGAACAGGATTCTCCCATCAACTCGTATGCCTCTCTCGTCCCAGTTCAGTGACTTCATCACCCACTGCAAGGCCGCGGTGGGCAGCTTTGGCGAAATTGTGTCGCTTTGTCGGACCCCCTTTCCAACTGGGATGGTCAGGGGGCGATGGAATAGCTGTATCGTCGTTGTACAGTCATTGTAAGAGTCGGCTAACGTCCTCACGTAAGCTGGGTCCACTCCTTGACCGACTAGCGCTGACAGGATGGCGTTGGATTCGACGCTGTCAAAGGCTTTCTCGTAGTCGACGAAGGTTAGGACGAGAGGCAGTCGGTATTTTCGGCAGACTTCTATGACTCTTGAAATCGTCTGGATGTGGTCCATGCAGCTGAATCCTTTGCGAAATCCAGCTTGTTCTTGGAGTTGGACTTCATCCAGTGTCCTAGATATGCGAGCGAGGACAATCTTCGTGAAAAGCTTGTACAGCACACTCAGCAGGCATATTGGACGGTAGTTCCGAAGATCCTCCCGTTCACCCTTCTTGAAAAAAACGACGGTTCTTGACTTCTCCACTTGTCGGGAATCCTTTTTTTTGAAGGTAAGATGTCAAATGCGACGCTAGAACCTCGTGTAGACTGTCCTCGGATCGCAGAAGTTCGACGGAATTATGGTCTGTCCTGCAGCCGTGGACGTCTTCATGGTCTGAATC